AAACTGTTGTGTTAATTTCCTTCCATCCCCACCCAAAATTATTAACCGTTAAAGTCCATTACCGAGGGCCACTAAAACTAGAATAACAAAAACGCGTTCAAGACCAGCATTATTGTGAGACATTGTGCAGTCACATTATGTTAAAATGTGTTGTTATGTTGTATTAATGAATACAGTTTTTAACATTGGTGCTGCAACTGAGACAATAGTGAGAGGGCCCTATATGAGTTGCTTTGGAACTGTTGCCATGGAATGGAACCCTGTTTGTGTATGAGCCACACATGTCCCTATTACTGTATTTATTTGTCATGTTTGATTTGAATATCATGGACAGCTTATTACATATATTTTTCAGTATTTAAATTTCACGCATCAACCACATTTACAATTGGTACTTCAAAATGCCCTTTTTGGTATGATTAATGTATTTAATTACGTATGCTGAATCTAACAAAGTTTGGCTGGTTATTAGGCCACATTTAAAACTTGATAAATGACAAGTACATTTAAATTGTAAAACCATTATCCAACGCTCCATACCAGATGGTTATACCATGTACTGCATATTGTATTAATGCACTTGGAAACATTTGTCAAAATATGTTTTTTTGAGAAACAATAAAGGCAGTATGAAAAACAACCACAGTAATTAGATGTATAATAAATCACAGCCACATACCCATTTGTAAAAGAGTTGCATAGCTTTCCCTCGTCCTCCTTACTGCCAGTCCTTGGCATGCTGCTATAGTGCTCGTGACTTTGTATGTGTCCAAGTGCTCTGTGATTAAACTTAGCTCCAAGGAAGAGCCAGCCAGTTGGCCCTTAATAGCCCGACTGCCCCAACAAAATAAAATAATTGGTGCCCTGCCTTTTACAAGATTCATAGATGACAATGTTCCATTCATGGCGACGCCCGGCTGGTGGAGGTGGCATTGCACCCGAGTGAGTGATATGCCTCTTGAGTGCCTCGTGCATTTACAATGGTTTGGCTGCGTGATAAGTAGGTATGCAACGACAAAGAATCAATTAAATCGCTAAAAATCTATTCTCATGCTCGTGATAACCGTGGCAATATCATACACGTGAGGGGCAGTTGTTCCTTCAGAATGCTCTTTCATCTGATATTAGGAAGCCACTGGAGCTATGCGCTTTTAAATCTCGATTCAGAACTAATTTCTTTAGAAATGCTTTTTGTGTTTAGTTTGTTGTCCTTAGATTAGTCGGGTGGCTACGTACGGTGCGAAATAAGATCAACATACGTGCATTTACATTTGGTGCAAAGCCTCAAAATGGCATGCTGACGTTACATTTAGGCCAACGAGATTGAACTAAATCGTACAAGCAATAGAGACAGAGATAAGAAACGAAACTAAATGGTGTAATACTGGTAGGAGCCTCCTGGTTACACCAGCAGCCCACAGGGGATTATTGTGTCCGTCCGTCCGTCGTGCATCCAAAAATGGGAGGGGTGGGGCTGGGTGGAGAGGGGAGGGTGGGGAGGGGCTGGGTTGGGAGGGTGGGGTTGGGTGGGGAGAGAGGGGCTGGGTGAGGAGGGTGGGGCTGGGTGGGAGGGGTGGGGCTGGGTGGGGAGGGGCTGGGTGGGGAGGGTGGGGCCGGGTGGGGAGGGGATGGTGGGGAGGGGCTGGATGGGGAGGGTGGGGAGGGGCTGAGTGGGGAAGGTGGGGCTCGGTGGGGGGTAGGGCTGGGTGGGGGGAGGTAGGGGTGGGGCTGGGTAGGGAGGGGCTGGTCACCCCGTGGTGCCCTTATAAAACTCAACGTTTAACCTACTCACGCCGGCTTGTGCCCGCCCTCACAGTCGGGCATATTTCCGGAATACACCACGCCGCCGTTGACCCTGGCCATTGACGGAGCAACCCAACGTTCCTACCAGCTCCCTCCGCAGGAATGTGTTAAAACGAGACAAAAATTATTCAATGTTGAATCGAATTGCGATAAGAAATTGTGACAATCCATATTCGCCTTTGTATAATGTCACGATGGTAGCTTTCATGCAAAAGTTCTTGTCATTAATCGTCCACCGCCCAGCAAATATCGTCACGTTTTGTAAAGTTAGTATCAATACGCGCCAACGTATTGATCAAATTCTGACCAGGCAGCTCAAGATTTTTTCACGAATGAATTAACCTTCAACGTGTGTGGGACGTTGCCTCAACGTGACGAATTCATCGAATCGCCGTGAGCGAGGGGCGACAGGCGTCGCGGCAAGGCCCTCTTCAAAACTTTATTTTCCACCGGGGGGCGAGCGATGGCTCTCGGGTGGTTGTGAAGCTGCGTGAATTTCAGCTCTCAACACGGTGGAGCATCGTGGTTCAGCCAAGTTCAACTCTGTGCACGGAGGCTTGTGGCTGCAATTTAAAATAAAAACCATTCGTGCAATGGGCATGACTGATTACGTATGCAATTCATCATAATGGGGTAATAGCGGGCCACGAATAATGCCAAATTTTCATGGTGTATGTGGGCCATACGGGTTACACAAGCACGTGCGGAGATTCGCAGAGATCGTACGAGAGCAATCGTGCGCGCATGCACATTAATCTGCCAAAATACATTCAAGATAAAAAAAAAACTAAAAAGAGAAACCCGCAGATCTCCTCTTTGCGTAACAATGCTCAATTTATATTCGTATAATTGTACATCAAAAACCAAGGACAAATACTGTGGTTTTGAAGCACAATCATCCCTGTAAATAACACCCAGACAAATAAGGAGTACAAACGAATAGCCTCTGGCATAGTAATTAATTCAATCAGACATTCTCCCGGTTTCATTTTTTCCCCCTCACCTGGCTCGATACGCGACCCTCATTATGTGGGTTCTTTGGGTCAAACTGAGATAAAATTCCGCTAACAATATCTACAACATGCACACTCAATTAGCAGCGCACTCCGGATCATACCATTCCGTCCACGATTACCCGTCTCTGGGGACAAAGATTCCTTCATAATCCATTCCCGCCACACTCTCCTCCTTTCCCACTCCTCCCGCAGCCCATTCCATTCCACCCGCGCAACCACGTCACAACCATCCCTTCCAAGCACCTGCACGGTGAGTTCGTCCTATCCTGGCGCCACTTAAAAGCACATTAAAATGTTATTTTTCTCCTGACCTTGGATGCATTAATCTTCGACTGTCGTGGGGTAAAAGTGAGGGGGGGGATATTTTTAGGTTGCAAAGGCCACGTTGGGAAGTTGGGTCAGTGATGGCTCACTTAAGGGAGAGTAATGCTGTCCTTGCTTAACCCCTCCCCCTCCGCACTGCCCCCCCCCCCCACTGAAAACACTAACTCACTTTTATAAAATGCCTCTTATAAAATAAATTAATATATGGGGAAATAAATAACTAAATAAAAATATATTACGAAGTCAAGGGGCTTGCTGAATGTCTGTCAGACGTTATCGTTTATTATCGCTGGTTTTTTTTACTTGTTTGATCTTACAACAACAAAACACTTATATTTTTTTTCGGTAAAGTCACGTTCAACGTGACTTTACCGAAAAAACTAAGAATATGAACTACTGCAGTCACGAAAGCTTTAAATCAAAACAAAACACTTGTTAATGTTGGGGATTATTTTTGTTGTTGCTGTTGTGCAAAACAGGTGTGAATGTTGCCTATGAGGCAAGAAAGAACCCTTTTAATTTCCCATGTAGGCGAAGAACACCTCTCTCCAGTCTAAACGATACGTTTTACTTATTTATTTGTGTTAGGGATTAGGTAATACTCAGAGTGTTACATTGTCACTTTGGGTAGCTGTCTGAAAGTAATCGGTTCAAAGTCAAATATTTTTCATGTGCAAATGCGTATGATGATTTATAAATGTAGAGAAACGGATAATCTCAAAGAAAAATGTGTCGTATGTGTGTGTATTTATATGTATAGATTAGATGTGATGTTTATTTTTATTGAAAGCAAAAGTGTGAAGCGAACGCACTGTTAAATTTAGATTTAAAGCTTTCGTGACTGCAGGGATTCATATTCTTGGTTCTTTCGGGAAAATCACGTAGAAGGGAAACAATAAAATAATAAAAAATATGAAACAATAAAATTCTCACGTTAAAAATAACCGCCACTTTTTTCCAATTTTCTTGTTGTGGTTTTCACACCTGATGATGATTGCTTGTGTTGCAGTCGAAACGTCGTGAGAATTTTATTGTTTTATATTTTTATTATTTTATTGTTTCCCTTCTATGTGACTTTACCGAAAGAACCAATAATATGAACGCACTGTGTTACATGGCAACAACATGGGGCATGCAACAATAAAAAAATGTAACTTTAAAAAAGTGACCTTGGATACATTTGTTAAAAGGCGTTGGAAAATACCGACCTGATGAAATTTGATTCAGAACAAGGTAAACACACTCATCTAGCGCATTGTGCACTCACACATTCACATTCTTATTTTGAGCACAAGTGACTTATCTCACATTCCAAAAAATATCGGAATGTTACGACGAACACACGTTGTGTCAGTCACGCGATCGCTGGCAGTGTGGTGATTCGTGCTGGAAAAATAATCATGTTTGCCAACGAGCACAGGAGCTTGGAAGCGGCTGCCCCAGTTAATAATGCGCATGCATTAACCACCGATGTACGTGCCATCTTCTTCAGTGGACTTGAAAGATCCTGAGAGCCGATTCGAAAATGAGTCGGCCATGTGCACCGGCGTCATGGTCCAATTTTGAGCCATTTTTTTTACAAATGACTAAATTAGAAAGCCCCCCCTCCCCTCCCCACCCTTGCCGCCCTCAAAACATTTAACATCACAGCCCCTCTGCTGGAAGCCTAATGCCCACTCGCAGGCCAGCGCGGCGCCGTCCGCCGCGTGCCGCACAGGGACAGCTGTCGCCGCGGGGCACCTTGGGACGCACCCGCGCGCCGAGGCATTGAGTGATGGCGATAACGGCAACGGACGACGCAAAAAAACGCCGCCGCGCTCCGTGACCCCGCTCGCTCTCTCTCTCTCTCTCTCCCACCTCTCTCGCAGGTGCTGCCGATGTAGCCGGTGGAGGCACAGTCGCACACGTAGCGGTTCCATCCCTCGCGGCACAGCCCGGCGTTGGCGCACGGCCGCGACACGCAGTGGCGCCCCGTCTCGCGCACGCACGCCGGTTTCACCCCGGTGGCCAGCTGGCTCTCGGCGATGCGCCGCACGTCCTTGGCCTGGCCGTCCAGGTAGAGGTCGCGCACACAGCCCACGTAGCCCAGGCCCAGCGACGCCGTCCACAGCTCCGGCGGGAGAGCTGGCATGTCCAGGCGCCAGCCGGGCAACCCGCCCAGGTACATTTCCCCATCCAGATCCAGGATCTCGCTCTCGCCGCTCGCCGTGAATTGGGTCCGGCGGCCGTCGACGCTCACCAGGCCTGGGAGTAAGGTAGGTAGGTGGGGGGGGGGGTGGACGAGAATGTAGACACGTGAGGTGCAGGTCGCGATGTGGCACACATGCATGCACAGGTTCGGTGCAAAAAACGGGACGTTTTCTCTTGCGATAGTCTGTGGTCACCCGATAGAGATATACTGGATTATACCAAAGCAATGTGGCATTTCCACCACTCCGATTAGCACAGTTGGCTACATGCGGTGTGGAAGAAGTTCAACATACATACAGTACTTGCAAAGAGCCATAGCCCCGCTCTTAGCAAGAGCTGTCAAAAGTTAGACGCATCCTTGTGACGGCTAGGATATGTTTGTGATCTTAGTCAGAACACATCACTGGACAGGATGATGGCTGTTCGTGAATACTAACATCGGAGTGGCAGCTAAATAAGGGGATTTACTCAAGTGAATGTCTACTATGCAGATGACGTGATGAAGTCAGATGCTATAGATGGCAGCAGCTTGGGAAAAGCCTTAATCCATTAGTGGATTGATCACTGCCTGACGATGAGGATGATGATTTCCATAGCCGCCAATTAAAATTTTAATCCCACGTTTGTGTTTGTGGGTGAGACAGTGCCAGTCTTGTCAGCGAGCCCCTATAAAGGCCTGCATGGTAACACAAAGTAGAGGTGTGGCTGCTCATGACAACCAGATGTCTGTCTCCTGAGCACTGCCGCTGTTGACATGGAGTACCAGGCGGCGAGCCTGTTCGCCCAGTAAAAACATTCCATTCACGTCGCTTCACTCGTGAGGAGTGGAGATGTACACATGAAAAGCCTCTCCTCACACATTATCACTTGACCTTGTAGCAAGTGCCTTTAATAGAACTATGAATATGCCTGCCGTGCGCTTACGTGTTCATATGCACCTCATGCTTGCGTTTGTATTGTTCAGTTATTGTTAACGGGAAAAATAGGCAGAAAGAGCTCCAAATCCGGAGCATTAATAGCATTATACTGAGAGCTGCACACAAGCCGACTTGTGTGGATTCAAAGCCCTTCGTGTTGGATCAAAAAAATATAAAAATGAAGTCCCCAAATCTTTATCCCTCTGGCTTTATACCAAATGCTGCTGAGCCAATATAAAAGCAGGCGGCTTGTGCCACCACTTGCCGTCAATTTCACTGAGCCCAACAGTTTCATCCGGAGATGTCCCTCGTCCCGTCGCAGGTCGATTCCCGCAGTCATAAACGAGCGCGGCGCACATCGCGCTATATGATGGCGCTTTGAGTGAGGCCTGGGGTGAGTGAAAAGCAGCTTCGCATTATTCGGTTTGGGGCAGATGTGCCAGCTTGGCAAGCCATGGACTGCTGTGCCCTTGGCAGTGAATGGGCCATTTGTTTATCCGTATATGTCGGGGTGTTCCCTGCACGTTCACGGATTGCCGCGAAAGGCGGTGAATGCGGTAGGCGAATTGAGTGTGCACTATGGAGCCATGCCACACCATCGCTGGTGTCGTGTATGCATGTGTACGATGAAAATGGGAGAGGGGGAGGGGGGCAGTGGTTAGCGCGCCGCGGCTCTGAAACGGAAAACCAAAGTTCAAGTGGCAGCGGCAGCTGCGACCAGTGGAAAAGTGATATCAGAACTGATCCTGCCAAGCCACTGACACCAGCCCCCATCCCCAGTGAAATCTACCAGCACTGATCAGTGCGGTGAAGTATGCAACAACAACAAAAACAATACTTACATGGTGTTGAAGAGGCCTCCATCCACTGTAACATTGAAAACGTCTTGCGTTTATTTTTAATTTACAACTAAAACATGCCGATTGGGAGTGTTTTTAAACTTTCAAATACATTTTGGAAGCTGTTTTTAAGCGTAACCATTAATGTATAAAATCTGAAATTATGGATGTGAATTAACAAACGATTGTAGAGGACAATGTCACATGGCAAGCTAACCTTTTTTAGATTTGAAAGGATACGGTCACACTGTATTTAATTTTAGGCTTATGGCAGAATATGCTTTTAGTCTAATTTAAAAATAAAATTCCCCCTCAGATTCATGTAAAAACCCTTTTGACAGCCAATAATCTGCTTGTACAGCTTAATGTATGTGGGAGGGTCTGAGAGTTTTAGGCTCAGAACATTTGGCAGAGACGTGCTGCTTGCAATAAGAATTACAAACCTATAAGGTAAGAACACTAGCACTTAGGTTTGCAAGTAAGATGTCTTGCCTCTCTCGGTAAGCTTATCCTTTCTGCTTTATTTTTTATTTTTTTTCTCTGTTGATTGGGGAGTCGGCCTGTTTCTCTCACTCTCTCACCAGTTCTCTCTCGCTGTCTATCTCACATTCACACATACATACACACACACACGCGCACGCACAAAGTCTGTCTCTTTCCCTCTCTCTAGCAGACTTGGCTGGTGCCAGATGGCATGCCTTTGATTCCTGTGAAAATGTCAGCTCTGATATGCTCTGAACCATGTTAAAATGTGCCGAAATGTCGCAGTCTAAAGTCATGCGTATTTTTTCCCCTCTCCTCCCCACCCTCTTTCCTGAATGTAATCGGGGTTATTTCATTATTTTAACAAACATGCTGGGAGGAAAAATATAATGACGCACTGGTTTGCTTTAGCAAGGTTTGCCCTCATTGTTTGACATTTTTAAATTTTCAGTCAGTTTCGTATGCGTATACACTGCAAGTGAGGTGGTTACTTGGGGTCAGACACTCAGTAAATGGCAATGATACACTTTATATGTACATGCACACATTTTAATTACAATTGTTCTTGATGTATAGAGTATGATTACATTTTTTGGGGCATTCTTTGCAATTATGACAAATCAGGTGACTCACCTCAGCACAGGTAAATATGGACGGTGTAGTTGGATAGCATCAGATTAAGTCTTTCCAGAAAAGCCATTTGCCAACTTGCTTGCTCATTAAAAAAAAATATCTTCTATTTTTTTTCATTAACTGCCAGCGGTGCTTTATTACAGAGCAATGACACCAACTATAACACTGATAAATATAGCATTGGATAAAAAAACATTCACCCTCCCCACACATCCAGTTCAATATATCAACCAATAATGGATTTGTTATGAAAAATAATTACGACAATAAATAAAAATGCATTACATATTAGACGGCGTACGGAGAGCATTTTATTTAAATGCTTCATATGTTTTTTTTGTTTGCCGGTGCCCTGAAATTAGTTTGGCAGACTGCAATACATTGAGTGCAGGCCATACCCTTGCATGTGATTAACTTTTACGCCACCTGCCAGGCACATACGAAGAAAAATATCCCCAGGGAAGGTCGGCTGTCAGGAGGGGGGGGGGGGAGCAAAAAAAAAACAAATAAGGGAGAGAGGTGGTAATATAAGCACACACAGCAGGGCCCGAGGCCTCCACACAGAGAGAAAATAGCGGGTGCTCTGGGGCGTCGAAATTTGTATTAATTTCTTGGTTGGCTTGCCAGACTCCTATCTGCAGCCTCTTTATTACCAGTGATGAGCGATCACTACCGCATTTCATTTTGCGTTAGCAAGGCACTTTAATATCAAGGTGCCGAGCGACCGCTTTTGATTGGCATTGCTTGTCACCTGAATGGCAAGTCACTTTCAGTGGCAAGTCGTCCCGGCAATTCTCATCACGGCGACAATAAACTTGAGAGTAAAGATATATATACGCCCAAGGAAGATTTAAAAAGAACAAACGCGAAAAAATAATAGTGTCATTGACTGGCTGAGACCAACGGGCAGTATTTAACACAAGTTGAGTGTTAGAACTTTTTTTTTTAACAGTTAATGTTTCACGGGCAGTCGTATACAAAACTCCGTGATAAAACTTTACATTCGGAAATTTCACGCGTGCAATCAGAAGCTAATTGTCCTCAAACTGCCTGATTGCTCGCTTAATGGGGAGCAAAAGCAAGAACAGTGAAAACAATAGATGAATAAAACCCCAATGTGTTAAGTTTGGGACATGTTCAATTAATCATCCACGCCACTGATGATATTTGTATATTTGCATGCTGTAATTAGATACTGTCTTAGTTTCTTCTTTTGCAGTCTCATCGAGCCACTTCAGGAATGGTGATCTGGGAAAAGAGGGTGGGGGCGCATGTTTGGCTTGGGGTTGGGCAAGGCGGCTGGCTGTAGTTTGATTGAAGCTCTTTTGGAGAGTGTATAGGCGAGTTTGCAGTGCCCGGAGGCTGCGTGGAATGGGATTAGCACCGCGCACAATCTTCATCTCCCCATCAAAACAATGGCACATATTATGGATATAAAATATGCTGGCAGTCCCGCTCTAGGAGGTGTAAGTGAAGTACTGCATAGTAAATCAATGCCTCCCTGCCACGGCGGAGGCCACTCGCTGGCAATCAGGGAAGGTGGCAGAGGTGGGGGCTGTCTGTGGAGGGGAAGGGCTTTGGATTTCTTTTGCCAACCCTGTAGTAGGAGTCGGAAATGGTAAATCCCAACATTAAAATAGCGGACATCCCTGAAGCCACACCAGGCAGTATGTAACCATGCATATGATAAACATTTGTCTCCCAGCTGGCCACGTTTGGTGAAGAGGAGGGAGTCATTTCCCATGTATGTATGTACGTACGCCAGTATGTAATGCATTTATGTACAATGTGCATATATGTCAAAGGTATGCACTTGCATATGAAAATGTGTCTCTTTTAATGTATGCGTATGGGGAGCGGTAGTGTAGCGGTTACCGCGCTGCGCTAAGAACCCGGTGACCCGAGTTCGATTCTCGCTCACGGCCAACACCAGTGACGATTATCTGAACCGGTCATGGGCATCCCCTAGGTCGACTCAGCCTCAAATGGGTTCCTGGTGTGGTGTGTAAGCATTGCCACTGGGGAGACAAAGACGGCCGGGCGTGGTGTTGGCTACCCACCCCGTCGTGTGGCGTGCCGGCCTTTATAGCTGCTTGCTCACAGCATTTGCCCTAACAGTCTGTTCAGGCTATACGGGAAGGCTTTGTATTTTTCATGTATGCGTATGAATGTATGTATACTG